GGGGGGACACTGGAGGACAGACAAGGGGGACATTGGGGGGACAAAGGAAGGGACACAGCGGGGGGGGACTTTAGGGGAAATTGGGGGTTGGGAGGGTTTTAGGGGGATTTTAGGGGATTTTGGGGGGCTTTGGAGGGTTTGGGGTTTTTATTGGGGTGGGTTTTGGGGAGGTTTTGGGGGGATTCTGGGGGGATTTTAGGGGGATTTGGGACATTTTCAGGGGAATTTGGGAGGTTTTGGGGGATTTTTGGAGGGGATTTTTGAGATTGGGGATTTTGGGGGATTTTTGGGGGGTTTTGGGGGAGGCCTTGGGGGCACGCGGTGCTCGTGGTTGGGCGAGGGGGATTTGGGGGATTTTTGGGGGTTTTGGGAGGGTTGTAGGAGTTTTTTAGGGGATTTTGGGTTTTTTTTTGAGGGGTTTGGGGTTTCTTGGGGCAGGTTTGGGGGGTTTTGGGGGGATTTTGGAGGATTTTCGGGGGTTTTTGGGGAGGTTTTTAGGGGATTTTGGGGAGTTTTTTGGGGGGTTGGGTTTTTTTGGGGGCGGGTTTGGGGTTTTTGGGGAGGTTTTTGGGGGGTTTGGGGGATTTTGGGGGGAAATTGCAAAGAGGGGTTTGCTCGGGGGTGATAACGGGGATCGATAACGGAATTGATAACCGGAATCGATAACGGATCCGATATCAGGGATCGATCCCAGGGATCGATAATGGAATTGATAACAGGGATCGATCCCGGTTATCGATCTCTGTTATCGATCCCGGTTATCGATCTCCGTTATCGATTCCGGTTATCGATCTCCGTTATCAATCCCGGTTATCGATCTCCGTTATCGATTCCGGTTATCGATCCCGGTTATCGATCTCCGTTATGAATCCCGGTTATCGATCTCTGTTATCGATCCCGGTTATCTATCTCCGTTATCGATCTCCGTTATCGATCCCGGTTATCTCCGTTATCGATTCCGGTTATCTCCGTTATCGATTCCGGTTATCTCCGTTATAGATCCCGGTTATCGATCTCCGTTATCGATCTCCGTTATCGATTCCGGTTATCGATCTCCGTTCTCGATCTCCGTTCTCGATTCCCGCCCTCCCCGCGCGCTCCCTCCCCACCGGAAGTGCGTCACGGCCACTTCCGTCGCGGCGGCTCCAAGATGGCGGCGCTGGCGCTGAGGTGACTCCGGGGCCCGGGGCCGGGCCGGGGACACCGGGGGGACATTGGGGACATTGGGGGCACCCAGGGGACACTGGGGACACCCAGGGGACGGCGCGGCGGGGGCGGGCCGGGCCTGAGGCCATTTCTCGGCGTCCCGCCGCGCTCCGGGGCTGGCCCGGGCCAGCCATGGCTGCGTGTCCTCCGTGTCCCTCAGTGTCCCTCAGTGTCCCTCAGTGTCCCTCAGTGTCCCTCAGTGTCCCCTCGGTGTCCCTCGGTGTTCCCTTGGTGTCCCCTCGGTGTCACCCTGTGTCCCATTTTCCCCCCATTCCCTCCCATTTTCCCCCGCTTTTCCCAATTTTTTTGGTATTGTTTCCCATTTTTTCTTATTTCTTACCGTTTTTCCCATTTTTCCAGTTTTTTGGTTTTTTTTTTTCATTTTTCCCATTTTCCGCCATTGTTTCCCATTTTTCCCCATTTCCCCCCATTTTTCTCATTTTCCCAAGTTTTGTTGTATTTTTTTCCCATTTCCCCCGCATTTTTTATTTTTCCCCATTTTTATTTTCCCCATTTTTTCCCATTTTCCCATCTTTTCCCCCGTTTTCCCCAATTTTTTGGTGTATTTTTCCCATTTTTCCGTATTTTCCCCATTTTTCATTATTTTGGTCGTATTTCCCCAATTTTTCCCATTTCCCCCAATTTTCCTCATTTTCCACACTATTTTTTCCATTTTTTCCCAATTTTTGTTGTATTTTTTTTCCCATTTCCCCTGTTTTTCCCATTTTATCCTGTTTTTCCCATTGTATCCCCATTTTTTCCAATATTCCCCATTTCCCCCCATTTTCCCCAATTTTTGTTGTCTTTTTTCCCATTTTCCCCATTTTTTCTCTCTTTCCAGGGGTTTCGGCCGGCGCTGCCTCCTGGCCCGGCTGGGGCCCGGCCCCGCCCTGCACCAGTGAGAGCCTGGGAGGGAATTTGGGAATTTTGGGGCGGTTTTGGGGATTTTTTGGGATTTTAGGGGCATTCTGAGAGGTTTTTTGGGGGTTTTGGGGTGGATTTTGTGGTGTTTTGGGGATGGATTTTGGGCTGGTTTTGAGTTTTGGGATGAATTTTAGAGGTTTTTTTTTTGTTTTAGGGTGGGTTTAGGGTTTTAGGTGTGAGTTTAAGAGGTTTTTTTTGGGTTTTAGGGTGGGTTTTGGGGTTTTTGGGTGTTAGGGTGGGTTTAGGGTTTTTTTGGGGTGGATTTTGAGGGTTTTTTTTGGGTTTTGGGGTGATTTTAGGGTTTTTTTCGGGGGTGGATTTTGGGGGTTTTTTTGGGTAGTAGGGTGGTTTTAGGGTTACTTTTCTGGGTTTTAGGGTGGGTTTAGGGTGTTTCCTGGATTTTGGGGTGGGTTTAGGTTTTTTTTTGGGGGGATTTTGGGTTTTTTTGGGTTTTGGGGTGGGTTTGGGGTTTTAGGGTGGGTTTAAGATATTTCCTGGATTTTGGGGTGGGGTTGGGGTTATTTTTCTGGGTTTTGGGATGGGTTTAGGTTTTTAGGGGTGGGTTTAGGGTGGGTTTGGAGTATCTCCTGGGTTCTGGGCTGGTTTGGGGTATTTTTGGGGTGGCTTGGGGTGTTCTTGGGGTGGTTTGGGGTATTTTTGGGGTGGTTTGGGGTGTTTTTGGGGTGTTTTTGGGGTCGGGGCTCAGGCCCTGCCTGTCCCCAGGACGATCCCGATGGCGACGACGGCGCAGGAGGAGATGAGGAGGTTCTGGGAGAGGAACTCGCGCTCGGGGCGGCCCGTGTCCCCCCACGTCAGCATCTACAAGTGAGGGACCCCCAAAGCACCCCAAAACCGGCCCAAAGCACCCCAAAACCAGCCAGGGAACCCCAAAACCAGCCAGGGAACCCCAAATCACACCCAAACCACACCAAAACCAGCCAGGGAACCCCAAATCACACCCAAACCACACCAAAACCAGCCAGGGAACCCCAAATCACACCCAAACCACACCAAAACCAGCCAGGGAACCCCAAAACACCCCAAAACCAGCCAGGGAACTGCAAATCACCTCAAAAACACCACAAAGCACCCCAAAACCAGCCAGGGAACCCCAAAACCACCCCCAAAACACCCCAAAGCACCCCAAAACCAGCCCTAATCACCCCAAAACTGGCCCAAACCATACCAAAACCAGCCAGGGAACCCCAAAGCTCCCAAAAACCAGCCAGGGAACCCCAAAATCAGCCCTAAAACACCCCAAAGCACCCCAAAACCAGCCAGGGAATCCCAAACCACACCCAAAGCACCCCAAAATCAGCCAGGGAACCTCAAATCACCCCCAAACTGCCCCCAAAGACCTCAAAACCAGCCAGGAAACCACAAAAACCACTCCTAAAACAGCCCAAATCACCCCAAAACTGCCATAAACTGACCCTAATCACCCCAAAACTGGCCCAAAGCACCCCAAAACCAGTCAGGGAACCCCCAAAATCACCCCAGGACCCCAAAATCCCCCAAATTCAGCCCAAATTTCTTTTGCAGGTGGTCGCTGCCCATGGCCATGTCCATCAGCCACCGCGGCACCGGCGTCGCCCTCAGCCTCGGTGGGTGGCACTTGGGGACACCTGGGGACATTTGGGGACAGCCCTGGGTTCACACCTGGGGGGTTTCCTGGGAAACCACTGCTCTGCCTTCCCCAGCCCCCCAAAATCCCCCCAAAATCCCTGCAAAATCCCCCCAAAATTCACCTCCAATTCCCCCCCAAAATCCCCCCAAATTCACCCAAAATCCCTGCAAAATCCCCTCCAAATCCACCCAAAACTCACCTCAAACTCTTCCCCAAATCCCCCCAAAATCCTCCCCAAATTCACCCAAACTCTCTGCAAGATGTCCCCCAAGTCCACCCAAATCCTCCCCAAAATCCTCTCTAAAATCCCCCACAAAATCTCCCCATCCCTGTTTTTCCACCCGTTTTTCCCATCCCTGTTTTTCCACCTGTTTTTCCCATCCCTGTTTTTCCCACCCCTGTTTTCCCCATCCCTGTTTTTCCACCCGTTTTTCCCACCCCTGTGTTTCCCATCTGTTTTTTCCCTGAGTTTTTTCCATTGGAATTTTTCCACGCCTGAGGTTTTCCCCATCCCTGAGTTTTTCCTGTGTTCTCCCTGGTGTGTTCCATCCCATCCCAGGTGGATCCCTGTTTTCCTGGATCCCTTTTCCAGGTGTATCCCTGTCCCCATTACAGCTGTGTCCCCATATCTCAGCTGTCCCAGCCGTGTCCCAGCCGTGCCCCAGCGGTGTCCCAGCCGTGTCCCTGTGTCCCAGCCATGTCCCCGTGTCCCAGCCGTGTCCCCGTGTCCAAGCCGTGTCCCAGCCGTGTCCCAGCTGTCCCAGCCGTGTCCCAGCCGTGCCCCAGCCGTGTCCCAGCTGTGTCCCCATGTCCCAGCCGTGTCCCAGCTGTGTCCCAGCCGTGTCCCAGCTGTGTCCCAGCCATGTCCCAGCTGTGTCCCAGGTGTGTCCCCAGCTGTCCCTATGTGTGTCCCCGTGTCCCAGCCGTGTCCCCGTGTCCCAGCCATGTCCCCGTGTCCCAGCCGCGTCACCTTGCCGGTGACCCGTGTCCGGATGCCGTTGCAGGCTGCCCACAGCTCCCGGGGCTGTCCCTGTGTGTGTCCCCGTGTCCCCAGCTGTGTCCCCGTGTCCCAGCCGTGTCCCCATGTCCCAGCCGTGTCCCAGCCGTGTCCCTGTGTCCCAGCCGTGTCCCAGCCGTGCCCCAGTCGTGCCCCAGCTGTGTCCCAGCCGTGTCCCAGCCGTGTCCCCATGTCCCAGCCGTGTCCCAGCCGTGTCCCAGCCGTGTCCCCGTGTCCCAGGTGTGTCGCTGTTCTCGGTGGCCGCGCTGCTGCTCCCGGAGTCCTTCCCGCATTACCTGGCGCAGGTGCGGGCGCTGAGCCTGGGCCCCGCCCTGCTCTGCTCGGCCAAGTTCCTGCTGGCCCTGCCCCTGTGCTACCACAGCTGGAACGGCGTGCGGCACCTGGTCAGCGGGACAGAGGGACAGGGGGACAGAGGGACAGGGGGGACAGGGTGACAAAGGGGACAGAGGGGACAAATGGGGACAGAGGGACAGCAGGGACAAATGGGGACAGGGGACAAATGGGGACAGAGGGACAGCAGGGACAAATGGGGACAGGGGACAAATGGGGACAGAGGGACAGAGGGGACAAATGGGGACAGCGGGGATAAACAGGGACAGAGGGGACAAATGGGGACAGGGGGACAAAGGGGACAAATGGGGACAGGGGGACAGAGGGGACAGTGGGACAGAGGGACAGCAGGACAGAGGGACAGTGGGGACAGTGGGACAGCAGGGACAAACAGGGACAGTGGGGATGGCAGGACAGAGGGGACAAATGGGGACAGCAGGGACAAACAGGGAGAAATGGGGACAGTGGGGACAAACTGGGACGGGAAAGGGGAGAGGAAATGGGAAAAGGGGGATGGGAACTGGATGGGAATGGGAAAGGGGAGAGGGGATGGGAAAAAGGGGGAGGGGAGATGGGAAAAATGGGGAGAGGGGATGGGAAAAAGGGGGAGGGGAGATGGGAAAAAGGGGGAGAGGGGATGGGAAAAAGGGGGAGGGGAGATGGGAAAAAGGGGGAGAGGGGATGGGAAAAAGGGGGAGGGGAGATGGGAAAAATGGGGAGAGGGGATGGGAAAAAGGGGATGGGAACAGGGATCAGGGATGGGAGAGGGAACAGGGGATGGAAGTGGGAAAGGGGAGCGGGGATGAGAAATGGGAAAGGGGATGGGAAAAAAGGGATGGGAGCAGGGGATGGAAGTGGGAAAGGGGAGGGGATGGAAGAAATGGGGCGAGGGGACGGGAAGAAGGGCGAGGGGAGCTGCGGGCGCTCGGGGTCACCGCCGTGCCCGTGTCCCCGCAGGCCTGGGACCTGGGCAAGGGGCTGCGCCTGCCGCAGGTGACACAGTCGGGGCTGCTGGTGCTGGCCCTGACCCTGCTGTCCTCCGCCGCGCTGGCCGCCCTGTGACAACACCGGGACTCCGGGTGACAACACTGGGAACTCGGGGTGACAACACCGGGAACTCCGGGTGACAGCGCCAGGAATTCCGGGTGACAGCGCCGGGACTCTGGGTGACAGCGCCGGGAATTCCGGGTGACAACACCGGGACTCAGGGTGACAACACCGGGAACTCTGGGTGACAGTGCCGGGAATTCCGGGTGATGGCGCCAGAAATTCCGGGTGACAGCGCTGGGAACTCCGGGTGACAGTCCTGGGAATTCCGGGTGACAAAGCTGGGAATTCAGGGTGACAGCGCCACCGGGAATTCTGGGTGACAACGCCACTGGGAACTCCGGGTGACAACACCGGGACTCAGGGTGATGGCGCCGGGAACTCGGGGTGACAACGCCAGAACTCCGGGTGACGCCGGGAATTCTGGGTGACAACGCTGGGAATTCCGGGTGACAGCGCCAGGAATTCCGGGAGACAACGCCAACAGGAATTCCGTGTGACAATGCCCAGAATTCCGCCCATTCCCACCCACTCGTGGGGAAGGTGACTCTTCCCCCCCCTCCCCAAAATCCCCAAAATCCCGGGATGAGCAGAGCTGCCCGTGCTGCCCCAGCCCCGGCGCCAGCAGCGCTCCGTGTCCCCGGTGTCCCCGGTGTCCCCGGTGTCCCCGGGCCGGGACAATGCGGGATCTGTGTCCCCACGAGTGGGATCCCGGCGGGACAAGGAGCTCCATTGAGGCAGCGCCCCACGGGGGCGGTGCCAGGTGACAGCGCTGCCACCCCGCTGCCACCCCGCTGCCACCGTCCCGCCGCGGTTCCACGATTCAGCCCCAATTTTGGGGGAAATCCCCCGGCTTTTCCCGCTTTGGCACCCCAGGTGTTGTTGTCACCCGTCCCCTGAGGAATAAAACAGCAGCTCTGACCCTCCAGCCACCAGTGGGATTTTTCTCTGGGATTTGGGGGATTGCTGCTCCCCCGAGCATGGGAAAAGTGAAAAAAACCCAAAATTTGCAGCTCCTGGAGGAGCAGGGATGAGCAGGGGGGGTTGGGGTCGGGTTTAGGGGATTTTGAAGCTTTGGAAAAGGGTTTGGGGTAGATTTAGAGGTTTTTTTGGGTGGGTTTAGGGTTTGTTGGTTTTGGGTTCCCACCCCATCCCGAGTCCCTGCCCCAGCTCCGTGTGGGGAGGAATCCTGGTGCTAAAAATCCAGGATTTTTTTGGAGAAAATCATCTGGGTGGGATTTTGGGCTGGGGGGGGGGGAGTTTGATCCCATCCCAATCTCATCCCCAATTAATTTCCCAATTAAGAACCCTCCCCTGTGACCAGGGAGGAGCAGGAGGAGGAGGAGGGAGCAGGGCCGAACCCTAAACCCCGAATGGATTTGGGCTCATTCCAAGCATCTCCCAGCCTTTATTCTCCCTTTTTGGGGGTGCCCAGCCCCTCCTGAGCCCCCCTGAGGGGAGGGAAAGGTGGGATTGGGGGGGGGATTGTCCCCAGGGGAGGGGACAATGACAGCAGAGCCGCCTCCAGGGGCTCAGGGGCTGGGGGGGCCCTGGAGCAGGGGGGATTTTGGGGACAGGGTCCCCCCCCCCCGGGGGGATTTAGGAGGGATTTAGGGGACAGGGTCCCCGCCCGGGGGGATTTTGGGGGGATTTTGGGGACAGGATCCCCCCCCCCGGGGGGATTTTGGGGGGATTTAGGGGACAGGGTCCCCGCCCGGGGGGATTTTGGGGGGATTTAGGGGACAGGGTCCCCACTCGGAGAGATTTTGGGGACAGGATCCCCCCTCAGGGGGATTTAGGGGACAGGGTCCCCACTCGGGGGTATTTAGGGGACAGGGTCCCCACTCGGAGAGATTTTGGGGACAGGGTCCCCCCTCAGGGATGTCCCCAGGGTCTGGGGTCTCAGGGCTGTGGGGGGAGCCCCCGCTGGGACCCCCCAGCTCCTTTCCGGAAGGTTCCGTGTCCCAGGGTTTCTGCAGCTGTGGGGTGGAGGGAGGGGGGTCAGGGGGGTCCCCAGGGCGGGGAAATGGGGTGGGGACCCCTCAAAAAGGGGGGAGCTCCTGCATTTGGGGTCTGGATCCCCCCCACCACCCCCACCAGAGCCGGGGCTGGCTTTGGGATGGGCGGGAGCTGCGTGCTCGTGGGAACACCCCCAAATTTGTGTCCCCCCTTTATGTCCCCATCCCTGTGTCCCTTTGATCCCCACATCCCTGTCCCCATGTCCCTGTCCCCCCCTTTATGTCCACATCCCTGTCCCCATATCCCCCATTCCTGTGTCCCTAAATCCCCCATTCCTGTGTCCCCTTTGTCCCCATATCCCCCATCCCTGTCCCCACATCCCTGTCCCCATGTCCCTGTGTCCCCCTTTATCCCCACACCCCCAATATCTGCATCCCCCCTTTATCCTCGTGTCTCCATCCCTGTCCCCGTGTCCCCAAATCCTCCATCCCTGTCCCCACGTCCCTGTCCCCACATTCCTGTCCCCAAATCCCCCATTCCTGTCCCCACATCCCTGTCCCTGTCCCTGTCCCTGTGTCCCCCTTTATCCCCACACCCCCAATATCTGCATCCCCCCTTTATCCTCGTGTCCCCCATCCGTGTCCCCCTGTCCCCTCTCCTGTATGTTCTGTGCCACCCCCTGCCCCCCCCACCGAGCCCCGGGGGTGTCCCTGGGGTGTCCCCATGCCCCAGGTGTGTCCCAGTGTCCCCAGGTGTGTCCCAGGTCTGTCCCCGTGTCCCCAGGTCTGTCCCAGCTGTGTCCCCATGTCCCAGCTGTCCCAGCCGTGTCACCTTGCCGGTGAGCCGTGTCCCCAGCTGTCCCTGTGTGTGTCCCCGTGTCCCAGCTGTGTCCCCAGCCGTTCCCAGCCGTGTCACCTTGCCGGTGACCCGTGTCTGGACGCCGTTGCAGGCCGCCCGCAGCTCCCGGGGCTGTCCCTGTGTGTATCCCCCTGTCCCTGTGTGTGTCCCTGTGTCCCAGCCGTGTCCCAGCTGTGTCCCCAGCTGTTCCTATGTGTGTCCCCATGTCCCAGCCGTGTCCCAGCTGTGTCCCCAGCTGTCCCTATGTGTGTCCCCATGTCCCAGCCGTGTCCCTCTGTCCCAGCTGTGTCCCCATGTCCCAGCCGTGTCCCAGCTGTGTCCCCAGCTGTCCCTATGTGTGTCCCCGTGTCCCAGCCGTGTCCCTCTGTCCCAGCTGTGTCCCCGTGTCCCCAGCCGTGTCCCCATGTCCCAGCCGTGTCCCCATGTCCCAGCCGTGTCACCTTGCCGGTGACCCGTGTCCGGACGCCGTTGCAGGCCACCCGCAGCTCCCGGGGCTGTCCCTGTGTGTGTCCCCCTGTCCCTGTGTGTGTCCCCATGTCCCAGCCGTGTCCCAGCTGTGTCCCCAGCTGTCCCTATGTGTGTCCCCATGTCCCAGCCGTGTCCCTCTGTCCCAGCCGTGTCCCCGTGTCCCCAGCCGTGTCCCCATGTCCCAGCCGTGTCCCCATGTCCCAGCCGTGTCCCCGTGTCCCCAGCCGTGTCCCCATGTCCCAGCCGTGTCCCCGTGTCCCAGCCGTGTCCCCATGTCCCAGCCGTGTCCCCGTGTCCCAGCCGTGTCACCTTGCCGGTGACCCGTGTCTGGACGCCGTTGCAGGCCGCCCGCAGCTCGCGGTGCCGGTACCGGGCCAGGCGGGCGGCGGCGGCGGCCGAGCGGGCGCTGCGGTCCCAGCGGGCCGGGGGGATGCGGGCCGGCATGTCCCACGTCCCCAGGAACGTCCCCCACGGCGACACCTGCGCGGCCACGGCGCGGGGGTGGCCCCGGTGCCGGAGCCCCCCCTCCCGGGATGGGGGTACCCCCAAAAATCCCCGCGGGGCTCACCTGGGAGCGCGGCACCCCCGGCAGGAGGTGGCCGCGGGCGTCGGCGATGAACGGGGTCGGGGGGCTCGG